TGAAAGTCCTGGCCAACTCTGATTTAAAAAATACAAATTTCAGGTAATCCACAAAGTAAGATGACTATGAGGTCAAGGCCAGCCTGGACTACATAGCGAGTAGCTTTCCAGCGTAGGCTACATAGCAAAACCCCGTCTCAGAGCAGAGGGCTGGTGGGATGGCTCATTAGGTGAAGGTACTGTTGTCAGGATTGCTGACCTGAGTTCAATCCCCAGAGCATGCACATCTGAAGGAGAGAACTGACTCTGGCTGGTTGTCCTCTGACCTCCACGCACACGCGGTGGCACCTTCGTGCCCACACACATATACACACAAATAAACAAAATGTGATCAAATCCAGACAAACCCAAACACAGACTGAATCCAGTCTTTCGTAGCCAAGCTTGGAAATCAAATCAAAGCATGTAAACGTTTTTTTGAGACTTTGTGTATCATATTTGGAGAACTGTCAGGAGCATATTTTAGAGAAAATAAGTAAAACTGGGAAAGTCATTTGGCTGGCTCATGGAACCTGGTGTGGCCACAGAGGCTCCTGGGAGGGGGAGTCCCTGAGCTGCACACTCCTCATGACTGCAGCTCCTTCGTGAGTGACTTTCTCCTTCTAAAATGTGTTAAGACTTTCAGATGGGTGGGTACTATATGTGCTTCTGCTGGCCTCTAGGAAGCAGACATCTTCAGCATGGCCAGATAACAGCTTGAACTGGGTAAATGGGACAGTAAAAAAAAACAAAAAACAAAAAAACGTGTTTGAACCAAGTCCACCAAACAGGTGTTTACACCAATTATACACTGGGGTAGAGATTACTTTTCCACTCATTTGAGGAAGACCAGAGCCTAAGTGGGGTCTGAAGAAACTTACATTTTTTTTTTTTTTTTAGTTATTTTCAAATGCCCATAGTTTGCAGAACTGATTTCTGCCAGGTTCCCAGTAAAGAGAGAACTGAGAGCTTTCATGGGCAAACGAATGGCCCGACCCTTTTACAGGAGTAAGTGAAGAGGAGGAAGAAAAAAAGGAGAGAGGGAGGGAGGGAAAGGAGGAGACTTTTGGATGAGAAAGCCTAATCAAACCGGAGCTCCCATTTAAAGTTTGCTGTACATCCCTTAACGCATTTATATACCGCTCACTAGCTATGTAGGTATATGCTATCTTTTAAAATTTTAGCCCAAATCCTTATTAAATGGTTTTGAGTTGAAAAGTACTTGGCATGAAATAGAGAATGAATGGTAAATGTCTCAAAGGGTCATATTAAATAAAAACATTTATTAGGAGCATAAACAGGATGAGGCGGGTCCTATTTTCATTCATCCAGAATGAACTGCTGTGCTCTACTAATGGGAGCCAGTGGGTGCAAGTGAAAATGCGCATTTAAGTGACATTTGATACTGCCTCTAATAACCATTTAATTGGCCCATTGAGACTTGATTGGCTTTCAGGCTTCCTGCTGAAGAAACTAAAGAATTGGTGTCATCATCAAGAGCAGTCAGCTTGCTCACCCTTGTCTGTGTGTTCCCACAAAACCCAGACATGGACTAATGTGGACATTTTGCACTCCTCAATCTCTTAAGGAGTTGGAAGCACAACGGGAGACAGGTATTTTACCACAGAAAGGCTGTTTTCTGTGGAGAACCGTTCAAGCATGGCATCAGGAAAGGGCAGTTCAAGCTGAACTTCCCCACAGTGTGGTGAGAAGTCCCAATAAAACAAGGGATTGCCTAGACATTTGGGAGCATGTGCTGGAGAACCTTCTAGGATCCTCCTTCCTAGTGGCGCTCTCAACATGCTTCCCTTCTCTCTGCTCCGCTCTGGGTTTCTTACCTCCAGGAGAGATGTAGAAACAGTTGAGTTGAGCTTCATGTACCACCTTGCCCTTGAACTTGCCCTCTGTTTCCTCAGACAGGTGACTGGAAAGCGGCTGGTATGGGGGTGTGGACGGCTGAACGAAGGCGCGAATCATGGTGACTTCCAGTTGGGTGCTAACAGCTAATTCCACAACTAAACAGTCATCCCTCTTGTAGTTTTCCTTGTACTCTAGAAACTCAGAACTGCTTTCTGGGGCCACCTCTGAGGGCCATAAAGCGCATAGGGGCCTAGCACTCAGCCTGGAATTCAGGCGTTTACTTTCAGGTTAGAGCTCTAAAAGCACACTCCTTTCTTGGTTCTTCTCTGCCGAACCCTTCTGCCTTTGCGGCTGCCTTCAGATCTGTGCAGAGACAAGCCCTTCCCCCGTGGAGCCCTTGGATGGAAATGTGAAGCAAATGGCTTCTGTCAGCCTGTCAGCTCATCACCTCCTGAAGGCCTGATGAGTCCTGGTCTTTGTATATCACCACGAGCTGTCTGGCACAGCCTCTTGTGTGGACGGATGATAGGCCTGGTGGGGGTGGAGGCCTGGGCCCACGACGCGGAGAACTTGAGCTGGAATGTGGACGTCCATGGATTCACAGTGCCGCTGAGCTGCAAAACTATTTTAAGGAGAGGGAAGCACAGGCCCGGTCCTCTATCTTGGTGCTCCTTTTAGTAGCCAGGAATGCTGGTAAATTTCTGTTTTATCTTCCTCTCCCCTTGCCTATTTAAACCTTATGTTCAAGCTAAATATTAACCGGGTAAAGAGTTGTTTCAAATGATCCCATGTGAATGTTAAAAACCATGTTGCCTCAGGTAAATCTTCATGAGGTACTAGATAACGGCAAACCCAGTATTTCCTTCATAGTGCTTTAACGGTTGAGGGTTTTCTGGTTTTCTGTCCGAAACCTGTTTGTCAGTGTCTCGTGGTGATGAAGACGTCAGAAGGGTTTTGTTCGAGCCAACAGTTTCCTTGGCATCCTGCCCTCGTGGAACTGTAGTTCTGTGTATCAAGTGTCACACCGGAGGAAGAGTGGCACCTGGAGTGCTTGTTAGTGTAGTCCCAGTAAGACGCCCATTGCCATCTTCTCTGCCACTGGGCTTTAGTGTCTGATTGCACCATGAGTTCCTGACTTGCCATTTGGGAAAACTTAGTCTCAAAAAAGGCAAGATTTCACTGCAGCAAATGGTCCTATTATAACTGAGACCTATTAGAACTGAGACAAAGAAGCCAGGCTCATGGGGCTGAGTGCCAGTGAGCCATGTAGATTCCTCTTCCTCACAGACTGAGTGCTAGTGATCCATGGCGATTCCTCACGGACTGAGTACTAGTGATCTGTGTAGATTCCTCATGGGTTCTGAGTGCTAGTAATCTATGTAGATTCCTCACGGACTAAGTACTAGTGATCCGTATAGATTCCTTATGGAGTGAGTACTAGTGATCCGTGTAGATTCCTCATGGGGACTGAGTGCCAGTGATCCAGCCTGACTTACAAGGACAAGAGGACAGGAGTCTAGGGGGTCTGAGTGGGGAGCGACTTCTGGTAGGTGGGAAGTAGCCTGGAACCTCAGTTTCCAGAATCACATTTAATCTTGACACAAAGGTTTTATTTTGGTGTGAAAGCATACAGCACATTGATTTGAGAACACTGATGTTCTCAATATTCTTAGGTTTGTCATAGTGCTGTGGATGGGTGTGTGTGTTTCTGTCTCAGAGAGTGCCCTGGATGAGAAAACCTGAGGTGTCATCTCCTTGCCCCTTCCATATGTAGGTGTCTGAGGTAAACGTTCTGCGTGCATGGGCTAGAGAGATGTCTTGGGGTAAGAGCACTTTCTGCTTTTCTAGAGGACCAGATTTGGTTCCTAGCACCCACATCTGGAAGCTCAGCTACCTGCAACTCCAGTGCCAATGGATCTGACACCCTTTCTGGACGGACACACACACACACACACACACACACACACACACACACACACACACACAAATAAATCTTTTTTTCAGAAGATTCTGTCTGTACTCAGTCAGTATAAAAATGAAGTTTAATGTCTCAACTTTTGGCAAGTTAGTGATTTGGATTCATAAAGCTTTTTTTTTTTATATATCTGCTTAAAATAGCATTAAAAAGACATTTCCTGTGCCTTTGGATATTTATATCAGTACTGCCCTGGGGCAGACAGTTCATGTCTGCACATGGTGAGATGAATGAACAGAAAAAGATGTTTTTAGACAATCAATAGCTATCTTCATACAAAATAATTAAATGCTTTGAAAGTTCATATTTTTTGAATTTTTTGTTTTCCTTTAAAATACTTTTTGCTAATTTTCATTCCTCTATCATAATATTGCTGCTGTTTTCAATGTCCATGTAGTTGATGTATTATTTATAGGATTATTTGCATATATTACCAGGACCTCAACTAGATATTTACAAATGTATCCTGCAACTATTTTAGCCTCCACTACAAAAGTGATGGAGCTAGATACATACTAAATTTAATAGATAACTTATTTGAAAATTATTAAATGAATCAATCACAGTTATACTACATTTCTGTTCATTGCTAAATGGTTACACCATAGTCGTACCTAACCTTCCAACATTTGTAAATTTTCTATATGGACATTTTAAAATGAAATTTATTTTTAAAATATATTTTTTCTAGTTCCCTATCCTAATAACTCACTGCCAATTTTTCAGTTAACATATTCTTTGGAGAAGGAGCGGGAAGGAGGTTTCTAGGCATAATTTGAGCATCAGGTTTCTGAATATTTAAAAATAAAGATGAAATGTGTTTATGAAATGTGCAAATGGAATATAGAAACAATGAAGTCTCAAAGCCAAGAAGTTTAGAAATCCTGGTCTCGTTTTCAATCTGTAGCCACTTGTGTAAGAAGCATTTACCAACTGCCTGTCGAGCTAGAGGCTGCACCGTTAGGGAAGCAGGCTTCAGTGTGTGCACAAACTCCTCAGCACTTCCAGTATAGATGCTTTCCTTTGACATGCAACTCCAGTGACTGGCTTCATTTATTTAGTAATAAATCGAACAAATTCATTCCACAACTAACTATTATATATGTTCCTCTAAGATAGAAAGGGAATTTCTTTCATTGTGTGACTTTGAAGATGCTTATGGCTTGTTTGATGTGTTTTTTCCCAGTGTCCATTTATGGAATTTGGTTTTATGATAAGGAAGAGTGCCAAAGAATTGCAAAACTGATGAAAAAGTAAGTATTAAAAGGCCGAGTGTCTCCTAGTACCGGGCCTTTGACTCACATTTCCAAGTGTGTGGAGCAACACTAACTTTACCAGGAAGTGTTTCTCAGCCATCATCTTCAACGGGACCCCAAAAACACTGGATGCTGCTTACTAAATGAAAACGGAGAAAGAAACGGCTTCTGTGTTTCTCTAGGTCCACTGTCTGCATGACGTGCCTTGTTCTGCCCCGAGTGCTGTGGGTGGTTCGGTCCATGGGGGGTTTCTTTGGTGTTTTCTTCATTTGTAAATAAGTAGTATTTTCTCTGGATGTGTCCATCAGTAAAAAGAACATGCAGAGTCATCCTGAAAGGGTGCCCCCGAGGCTTTAATACTCCACTTCCTGCCTACCCTTTAACAGCTTCCTAAACTGTGTTCAGGACTCAGAATCCCCAGTGCCTCAAACACCAAGTGCTTAAAATTGTCTTTAGTTCTCCTCTGTGGGAAGGTCAGAATCCGTGTTAGTTTAGCAGTCAGTGCTCTCTCTCGCTCTCGCTCCCCCCCCCCCCCCCCCCCCCCCCCCCCCCCCCCCCGTTGTCTCTTTCTCACTTGCTGGTTCTGAGCTGCTTCTACATTGCCATCCAACCTTCCTCCTCTCAGCTTCCCTAGTTTGCATCGAAACGAGGCCCAGGTGAGGCTGGTGGACTCTGCCCAGTTATAGGCTTGGCTCTTCAGTTTTGCTGCTGTTTATGCAAATAGCCAAGAGCCTCAGGTTGAAGTGAGTTCATGAAGCTGGGTCTCTGCCTAGGCTAGCTGCCCCACCCCGGATGTGATGTTCTGTCTGTAAAGAACCAGTATTCATTTCTAAATCCAGGGGCACTGAAATGAAAAAGTGACCCTCCTCCCAAGGGAATGAGAACCAGGGAACACATTCTTATAAATAAAATTGACTCCTGAAATTCTCACTTGTGAGAGCTAATTTTAGGCCACCCTCTCAAGTCCCAGATGGTGATTAAGTGTGTTCAAACTGGTATTTACCACCATAACAACTAGTTCCTTAAACATTTCATGTTGTTGTAAATTGTTCAAGGGATAATAACAGCGGGCTTCATATGGATTGAAAATACCCCACGGCTCAGCCAAGAGGCCACGGTAAAGCTGGTAGCATTCTGCAGTGACTGCCTAACAGTGCAGGCAGGAAAATGATTGTTACTAGCAATGAGCAGTTGATTAGTAAGGATTCAGATCCCTTCTCTAGTTAGAATAAAATCTCTTGGTAACTTCACAGGTCTTGCTTTACCGTTAACTTCATGGCTTTACCAAAAGAATTTGGGCTGAAATTCAAAGCAAGCCAAAGAAGAGTTTTGTTTTGTTTTTTAATGTTTCCACGCAGCATTTAGGACCGTGTGGTCAGTGTTAGGATGTGACCTTTTTGGTACCTCCAAATTGCCAGAAAGCTGCCAGATCTGAGGTGGTCCTCTCCACCTTGCATGACCTTGAGGTATTTGGGAAGGAGGGGGATCTCTCTGTCATGCCTGTCATTCCTGTTGAATGTCTGTTCTTTGGAAGGCTTCCTCCATGTCAGCGACAGTTCTGCTGCTACAGTGTAAAAGCAGCTGTGGCTGATGTGCCTAACAGTGAGCAGTCTGTTATTCTCTTTACAAAAACAGGTTGGGTAGGCTGCCACCCACAGGTCATAGCTTGCTGACTCATACCCTGGATTTGCATATGTGGCCAGTTGACTCAAGACCTCATCTCTCATTCTCTGTTTCAAATGCCTGAGCAGTCTTTCTAAGATGGCTCTAATGGGATGAAAACCCTTGGGAGAGAACTGGAGTGATGGCATTGGTTTGGACTAGTTCCCGGATATTTCCCTTGTTTTCCTAGCCTCACTCAGTGTGAACAGTTGAAAGCCTGTCATGGAGCTGGAGCAGGATCCTCCCCAGTGACCCTGAGTTCAGGAGAGGGCAGAGAAGTAGATATCTTACAGATGCTCACCAAGGCCAAAGATGAGTACACCAAGGTGAGTCTCTCTCTGTTCTTCCTATGGTCGCACTTAACCACAGTGACAAGATCATCACTGAGAAAGACTTAAGGATCTTTGAAAGCCAATTGGGGCAAATCAAGATCTCTTTGCTTTTAGTAGACTGTAGACTCTTTTCTGCAGTGACTTAAAAGATAGCCTAAGAAATCAATAGCCTTCCTACAAACATCGTATTCGGTTAGAGGACTTACTACCCTTACAGTGGTAACATGCAGATAAATCATGTCTTCATTGGTGGGGCAGGCCTGCAATCCCAGAATTTGGAAGCTGAAGCAGGGGATGGTAAGTTTCAGACCAGCCTGGACTACATACTGAGACTTGTCTCAAAAACTCAAAGCATGGGCCCAGCAACAGGGCCCAGTGGGTAAGGGCACCTGCCACCAAACCTCATGACCTGAGCTTGATCCTTAGGACCCACATGGTAGAAGGAGAGAGCCGACTTCCACAGGTTGTCCTCTTTTGACCTCCATACATGTGCTGTGGTACCCCTCCCCGGTGAATAAATAAAAGATAATAAAAATTGTAAATCAAAATAAAAAGCATAAAAGTAGACTTGAAGAGACGGAAGTGTGTGTCCTGTTCTTAGCTAAGGAGTAAGAAGACTGGATGTAAAGTTGTCATTCTCCTTCAGCCTCTAAGTCTGAGGTGATTTCTAAAGAAATACTGCTGTTTTCTTTTCTTCTCCTTCTCCTGGAACAGACAAGCTGACTGTAGGGGAAATAGACAACTCCCCAGCGTAGTGGGGAGGGGGGAGAGGCTGTAAAAACCAGCAGTATCGACTGGAGGTAGAATAGGGGCCATGAAGCAGGCTCTGCTTGATGCTAAAAATTGGTTATGAATGTGTAGGGTACTGTAGATTGTTGGTATTCATACATAGTAGCCAGATAGGCCAACAGGATAGCTGAAGCCAGAATTAGATGCAATTATAGATCCAGTTTATGATATGATAAATAACTGTTTCAGGTCAGTTTTATGAATGGATTCTTTGTGTTTTTGTTTGTTTGTTAGTTTTTCGAGACAGGGTTTCTCTGTGTAGTTTTGATACCTTTCCTGGAACTCGGTCTATAGACCAGGCTGTCCTCGAACTCACAGAGATGCACCTGCCTCTGCCTCCCGAGTGCTGGGATTAAAGGCGTGCACCATCGCCCAGCTGAATGAATGGATTCTTAAGTAACAGTGCTGAGGCACCTGGTACTCATTTGGAAAAGTACAGAATTCAAACTGTGCCTCAAACCACAGCCCAAGATAAATCTCAAATGTTAGAAAATTCAAGTTCCGGAGGAAAACTTATTTGGATATCTTTGCAATCTAGGAAAAAAGAATCCTTCTTAACTGTGCCTTAAAACTCAAAACCAGTTAATTTCAACTATATAGAAAATTAACATTTTGCAAACTTCAAAAAAATAAAAAACAACAACAAAACAAAACAAAAACCTGGACAGTAGTGGCTCACACCTTTAATCCCAGCACTCAGAGGCAGAGGCAGGTGGATCTCTGTGAGTTCAAGGACAGCCTAGTCTACCGATGGAGTTCCAGAACAGCCAGAGCTGTTACACAAAGAAACCATGTCTACAAAAACAAAAAACAAAAAAAATGAAATGTAACAACTGAGAAGAAATATTCACACCTAAAAACTAGGAACTGGGTTAAGTCCCCTAAAAATTGAAATATAAAAGATTAACACTCTCTAGAGAAATGGGCAAAATAAAATAAAAATTAAGGAAAAAATAATCTTAGAATTTGGAAAATGAGTAAAAAAAATATAAGGAAATGTAACTGAATATTACATTGTGGCATCATTAGGAAAATCATGACTTCAAGCCACAATGTTTGAACTAAACAGTCTTTGCAGATTATACTTCAAGGGTGAAAAGAACAACAAATTAGAAGCTTAATTCAGTGGTCTTATTATTAGTAGGAATATTGACCTTATAATTTTTCAGCTGTTACAGATTCAATAATTGAGAAATTACATTAGTGTGTCTAGAACCAATCCTTGACATAAGAGAAGAAAATCAAACTAAGTTGAAGTTGGCATCTTAAGTGGAGACATCAAACTTAGTTCATGTTTTGTTTCTTATCTATGGAAACAAAAACTGAAAGCTCCTAGCTCCCTGAAAAGACTCATAAATGATTGACAGCCAGTAGCAGTTAGCACCCTCGTTGCCCAGGGTCATTTCCTCCTAAAAAGTGTCAGAGTGCCAGTGGCGCACGCCTTTAATCCCAGCACTCGGGAGGCAGAGCCAAGCAGATCTCTGTGAGTTCGAGGCCACCCTGGTCTACAGAGCAAGATCCAGGACAGGAACCAAAACTACATGGAGAAACCCTGTCTCAAAAAAAAAAAAAAAACAACAAAAAAAGTGTCAGAGCTCTTTGACGAAGTTCCTGATTGTGGGGCAAATGGGATCCTACTCAGTGGCCACTGCTGGCAGCTTACGAGAGCACCAACCAGAACACAGCAGCAGTGTGGACTGAGTGCAGGACATATAATCATGAATCATGTGGATCATGGTGATGGGTGGGAGAGACAGTGTGGACGAAATTCAACCAAACCCAAACTGGTAATGGCCTTTCCTTTGAAAGTGCTCAGACACCAGTTCCTGCCTCTGACACTGATATTTGGGGTGTGTGTGTGTGTGTGTGTGTGTGTGTGTGTGTGTGTGCGTGTGCAGTCACAGACAAGCCACAGTTCACATGTGGAGGTCAGAGGACAGCTTTCAGAAGTCAGCTCCCTCTTTCTGTCATGTAGGCTGTGGGTTCTAGGAACAAACTCAGGTCATTGGAGGTCCAGGAATTAAACTCAGGTTCCAGGCCCCTTTTTCTCACTAGCCATCTCATAGGCCTCACACTGGTAATAGTCTATCTCTAATCTTGCTATGTGAACTCTTGGACTCTTCCAACTTTCCATTACATGGTCTTCTTGGTATTCTATAAGCATTTGAAACTGACTTCTGCTTCCTGAAGGTGCCTTCCTGCCTTTCCTCCCCTTCCTCACCCACCCAGACAAGGTCAGACTTTGAAGGTCCATTTCAAGTCCTTCCTGTCACATGAGTCATGCCTGACCTCCCCCGAGCCCCAGCTAATGTAAATGTTAGTTAGCGTCAGTCACATAGAGAGGCCATCTCCTGTCAGCTGTTGCCTGTCATGTATGCATGTAGGCAGGCGTTTTAACATACACAGACAAGGTACAGATCATCAGTAGAATGGGTCTGGTATGATGAAGTGGAAAATGGAAACAGTAATAAAGGACAAGGATTTTCCCCTCAGAATTCTTCTTGTGAAGAGTATCTCCATTTTTGGACATGTTTAAGAAGACATAGTGGAGTTGGTATGAAAGAATTTCATGTCTCTTGATAAGGATTAAATGAAAACTTCTGAGATCCCTTCTGTCTCTGGAATCTGGTGGGGAATTCAGTCTGATTTTTAAATTAATTTTTTAATTTAATTGAAAAGTAAAATTTGTATAAATTAAGGCACACAACATGATGTTTTGATACCTATATACATTGTGGAATGGCTAAATCAAGCTAATTAATGTATGTATTACATACATAGCATTTTTGTGGTGAGAACATTAAAATCTACTCTGAGTGCCTTTCATATATGCAGTTTTTAGCTGTAGTCACTGTGATGTGCGGTAGGTCCTTTGGCTTTCTCCTGTCTGATGTCTTATGAACATGCTCACAATAGCCTGTACCCTAAGCCTCTGCTAGCCACCATTCTCTCTGCCCTTGTGAGTTCTTCTTTTCTAGATCCACGTGTAAGTGACGTTGTGTGGGATTTGCTGTTCTGTGACGTGTTGACTTCACTGAACACATTTTCCTCGGCTTTTATCCTTGTGATCACAAACGGCAGGCTACTTTTTTCTTTCTTGAAAATTGAATATCGTGTGTGTGTGTGTGTGTGTGTGTGTGTGTGTGTGTGTGATTTATCCATTGCTCTGTTGACACACATTTAATTGATCCATGTTTTTGCTGTTAATAAATGGTCCTGCAGTGAACAGGGAAGTACAAATGTCTCTTGGACATACGGCTTCATACTCTCTAGTTATGTGCCCAGTAGTTGGATTGGTAGGTCTTCTGGTAGTTATGTTTTTTTATTTTCTTAGGAACTTTGGTACTGTTTTCTGCAGATTGCCAGCAATACTGTACCAGGATTCCCTTTGCTCCATAGCCCCATCAACACTTTACTATCTTTTGTAAAATTATTTTTATTTTATGTGTATGCACCATGTGTGTGCCTGGTGCCCATAGAAGTCAGAGAGGGCATCAGATCTCCTGGAACTAGTGTTATGGATGGTTGTGAGTGCTGGGAACAAACCTGTGTTCTCTGGGAGAGCAACAAGTGTTTCTAACCTCTGAGCCAACTCTCCAGCCCCTCTTTTGCCTTTTTGAGCTTAAGTATTCTACCTGGAATGATGTGAGGTCTCATTGTAACTTTGATTAGCATTTCCCTATGATTAGGGTTGTCATTTTGAGTCCAGACTGGGCTATATAGCAAGGCCCTGTCTCAAAAAGAAAAGGGAGAAAAGATCGAAGGAGTAATGTATAATGGCAGGCAAAGCTACCTCAGTGTATAGGAAAGCAGGGGCGGGGGTGGGGGGGGTCTGTTTTCTTTGTTTAAAATAAAGAGTCATTCTGTAGAATTAACACACCTCTTTGTAAGTGGTAAGAGGGGCTAGCGACTCCTCTGGCCAGCACTTTCTAAGTCGGTGTCTTGTGTGGCTTTGCCTTGCCTTACTTGCCTTGCTCTTAGGAAGACAGCAGTTGACCCATGCAGCAACACCACCAATCACTGTCACTCACTTGACAAGAATGTAAAAATAACACTTTATGACTTAAAAGCAATTCCGCACTCTATTCAGTACTAATGCCTAATGGCCAAAAAATTGACAGGACTCTTGGAAAATGTAGTTAGACCTTTGTGTGGTTGATTTGACAGACAGGTGCACACAGTGGCACCCAAGCCCAGGCCTGTGTCTTAGAATAAGAGATTATGCCCCAATAACTAGAAAACCCTTGAGAACTGTGGGCTCCTGAGATGACATGGTGCCTGTCACTCATGCTTTGTCAGATGTGACGACTGTTTCCAGGCAGGAGGCATTGACTGGTCAGCTGAAGCAAATGCTACAGAGAGAAGGCCCTGTGTATTGTTCTACTTGATGTTTTAACAAAATGAACCACAGCCTTATTGCCAGGCTTTTGTCATGAATCCTACTGTTGGCGATGGCACGGTTGGTTAGGTTAACAGGTGATAATGAGTCAGGATTTGAAATGATGAGGCTTGTCTCGTCTGTTTATGAAATTCTAATCTGTAGTGAGTGGCTCAGAACACTTCATTTAAATTATCCTGTTTATGCAAGAAGTCATCTATTAAATAAAGGTGGTGTTAGCAATTTTTAAATCAGTGGTTTGAGACAGCATTACTTTTTAGTTTGTGGACCAAGCAGGTTTAGATGCTTGGGTTAAGTATTTGTAGCAGCTCCCTGTATTCTACTCTGTATTATTTCTGTGATTGCTCACTATCAAAACCTATTAGACTGCTTGTTTGGAAACTATTTCTTCTTAAGCAAACATATAGCCTTCCAACTATCCACGAGCATGTGGGTCCTTAGGGCTAACTGATGTAGGTGGTAATATTTTAGGACACTGAATTACACACACCAAAAAAATTGTAGTTGATTCTACCCAAATATAGTTCCCATCAGAAAAGTAGAAGAGATTATCCTTCATGCATGAAAACTTATTTAAAGACTAGCCATCTACCAATTAGATAAGCAAGAAAGGCTGTAAACACACTAGAGCTTCTTTTATTTCCATCAAAAATGAAGTATTTGGTTTTTTTCCATTCCAGTGTAAGACCTGCTCTGAGCCCAAACAGATAACCAGTTCTTCTGCCATCTGTGACAACCCTAAGCTTATCAAACCTGTCCCTGTGAGACCCAGTGGCAGCCAGAGGCTACAAGAACCCCCTCCCAACAAGGTATGAGTGGACTGTTTTTTTTTGTTTTGTTCAAAACATAGTTTTCATCTTTTGGAATTAAAATATAATTCTATCACTTTCTCCCTCTCTTCCCTCCAACCCTCCCTTGTAAACGCCCTTTGCCTTCTCTCAAATTCATGGCCATTATTTCTTTAATTCCTAAATATTATATGTTCCTAAATATAGAAATAAAACCTGTTCAGTACAGGTTATTTGTTACATATATGTGTACGGTGTTACTCGTATGTACATGTTTTCAGGGCTTACCATTTGGTATTGGAGAACCAGTTAGTGTGCTCTTTCCTGGGGGATACTATTTCTCCTATTCTCAGCATTTCTTAGTTCCTATAGTTCTTCGTCTAGGAAGGAGGCTCCATGAAATCTCCCCTTCCATGTCAGCATGCCTTCTGTTGGGTGTCATGGTCCTTTATTCACAATAGCTAGGAAAAGGAAACATCCTAATGTCCTTCAACTGATGAATGGATAATGAAAATGTGGTACATATACGCTATGAAATACTGTTCAGCTGTAAAGAAAACTGAAATTATGAAATTTTTAGATAAATGTGTAAAACTAGAAAAGATAATATTGAGTGAGGTAACCCAGACCCAGAAAGACAAATGGTATATGTTCTCTCTCATCTGAGGCTCCTAGACCCAGATCTCCCAATATGAGATTATAGCCTGGAGTCACTACACAAACCAGGGAAATCCTCTGCTTTCATCTATGGCCTCTGGGATTCTCAAAGAGCTTTACCCGTGCACTGCAGGGGAGGGCCTGGCCCTGCTGAAGGATACCTAAGGTCGGTGGAGAAAGGCAGGGTCTTGCTGCACTGTGCATCTGAACTATGGAGCACGGGTTCTCTTCCTCAGGGATTGTCCAGGTGACCACACGCTGTGCTTGTGTGCTTCGAAGATCCTACACTGTTCAAAGAACAAGTGTCAGGGGAGACAGAAGCATACACCTTCTGGGAGAGGTCCCTCCTCAGGCCACTGGAGGAGCAGCCATCATAACAGTACAATAAAACGTGACATTTCTCAGCATCACTGTGTCCCCTGAGCAATGCCAGGCTCTGGGCGTGCGTCAGAGTGCCTGTTCTGGATTAGCTCTGGGCCAGGGAGTAGTGGAAGGCCCACAGGCCTGGGGCGGTATGTGTGTTGTGTGCTATGCACAGCAGTACAGCGGAGACAAAATTTGCTGATCAGCAGGCCCATTGTTGATTGTAAAAGAAACGTATCTGTTCTTTCATCATAGTTATTCCTAAGTAAAGAGATGTTTTGCAGGGAATTAATTTAAATCAGTTCTGAAAATGAGCATGAGCCAAAGACAGAAAATGACTTGACGAATGAAAATCTTGTTTTGAATTTTTCAAAAAAGAAGTATTTTCTAACTTATTTTAGCTTTTCATTAGTTTCCATGAGAATTTCTCTTATTTGAGTAGATAAACCAAGATACATTGACTTTAGAGTGGGAAGGAGGACCAGCTCAGGGGCAGGAGTGGTGTAGCAGCCAGGCATTGTATACGCCTGGTCCTTGCACGTTAGATTAAAATACTCATTTCTTTCTAGCCTGGCTCTCTCTAATTCTGTGAAAAGCTGCCAGGAACCTGGGGCTCTTACGTCCTGCTTATTTCCAGTACAGTTTGTTCTCAGCAACCCTAGATGGACCCTGGCTGTAGAGATGGGTTTCCATGAAGTATGTGCAGTCTTATACTATAGAGTGTAATTTTGTCCTCTAATCTGGGAGCTGCAGACCCCTCAAGGATCACATGCATGTCTTATCAAGTGACCAGATACTATGATGTAACAACAGCCTTGGGGGCAGGGAGGAGAATGCTGTGAAGATATTAGACATTTCAGAGGTCTCGGGCTTTTCAGGTTGATAAATTTCACCCGTCACTGATCCTTTGTAAATAGAACTCATCAGTTAACTGAGTTCTGCTTCACAGCCCCCCTGCCATAACCAAACTATGTGAACCTATTTGTGGCTATCTTTTCTCCCCCAGACCTTGGACCCTGAGCCCCAACACTTATCTTTGACAGCTCTATTTGGGAAACAAGACAAAGCTCCCTGTCACGAAATTCTGAAACCCTCCCGGCCCTTTGCCCACCACCACCACCACCACCACCACCACCACCACTACCACCAGCAAGAGCAGCTTCCAGTTCATCAAGGAGTTGGATGCTTCCTGTCCTATGAAGAACCCAGAATGCTGTCACTGCCTGTGGAGAAGCAACTTTGCCCAGCCATTCAGAAACTCATGGTGGGGAGCACAGGGCTGCACCCACTGCCACAGCACCCTGAGCAGTGGCCCTGTGAAAGTGGCAGCCCCAGTCCTGCAGAGGCAGTTCTCCCTGCCCCTGTCCAGCTGGGGTCCCCCTGGAACGGTGGGACTACACACTGTTCACAGAGCACTTGCAGAAACCACAAGCTATTCGAGCAGCTTCAAGGTGCCTCAGGGGCAGCGCATAAATATAAGCCCTGTGCACCTGCCAGCCCGGCTGTGGCCACTCAGGTGGCTCCGTGCCACAGCGTGGCCCAGTCACAGCTGGTGTATTTCAGTGGCCCTCTTCCTCCCCCCACACCAGGACATCAAGTTCTCAGGAAGGAGCAGTGTGCACTACCAGCACAAACACTGCCCCTCTCTGGCAGCCAGGAGAACAGCCCCAGTGTGCTCCCTACTCAGGAGCTGCTAAGAAAGCTCCAGGTGGTACATCAGGAGCAACAGCTACAGGTGGCCTCCCGGCCAGCCCTGGCAGCCAGGTTCCCCGTGTCAGCCCAGAGCCCAGGGACAGAAAAGCCTTTGGAAGCCTGGGCCAACAAGACAGGCAGCATGGACAAACAGGCTCCTGTAATGCAGGTAAATACGTCCTGGGAGAACGATGCTATAGTAGTGCAGTAGGATTTACTCTGCTACAGGGAACGTGTGTCACGTGAGCTTCCATTTAAACAGCTACCCAAAGCCCCCTCAGTGTGTCTCTTTGTCTTTCACCTTGCCTTTCTGTCTGGAAAGAGAAGCTTCTCTCTGCTTACAGTCTGGTGTCCTCTGCCATTTAGAGGTGGCGTGTAAAGTTAAATCTTTACCATGTCATGAAGCCTGAAGAGCAGCCCAGATGTGGGAAAACACCTAGTCTTTGACTATGAAGAAGACCATGGCAGTTGGCTCTAACATTTTAAACATCTGGCTGATTCTCGGCCTTCATCCTGTGGGTGGTTATTGCTTGCTTGTTGGCTCCATGTGTGATTGTAGGTGTTTCCTACGTGTTAGTAGCCACTTCCTGACATAGTGGTGGAGAAAGCGGACTCCGCATCCCACAGCCGGCAACCGTGTGGGTTCCTGAAGTAAACAGACACAGCAGTAAAGATGCTGCTGTTTTATTACCTTCTAGGTGATCGTATTATGAGGACAGGCAGAAACAAGTGTACCACCCACAAACTGCCGGAGAAGGCAGCACAGTGTCATTTCTGGACTTAGTGTGTCTTTCTGGGAGACAGCTGTCTGTACCCATCAGCAACTGGGACCGTCGGAAGCCGGGGTCTGTGGATTGTCTGCCTGTAGTGGCATCTGAGGGTCCGGCATAGAGTCCCTGAAACCGTGCTGACGTTAAAGATCGGATAGTTACCCTTACTCACTTTATATATATGACACTGTTGGTCTTTCTCACATGTTTTAGCACACAGTAGCTCCTCAGAAATTCTTCCCATTTTTTAAAGCAAAGGCCCAGGGCACAAACCGTGTGTGTTCAGGAGTGTGACCCGAGTCAAGGTGTTCGTTTTGAATAAATCCCAGATGCAGGTGCTTTCTGTTGCCAACTGGGGCTTTGTCCTCCTTCTTACAGCAGGGCAGAGTGTTGACCCCTTTGTAAATGTCTGCTTTCATTTCTCTTTGATGATTTAGAATGAGAAAATCAGGGCTAATAATCAGACTAAATGTCTGCGTATACAGTTCTCTTTGTTTTTAGTTCTCACAAATGTCAGGATCCAAATAAGGAAAGTGTACATTCTGCCAGCCCACGCCATGCTCCTCCTGACGCCGACCCCTCCCTTAGGAGCATCAGCTCTCAACACCTCTCCTTGGGGTATCAAATAGGGAAAGCTAAAAGAAACAAGAACCTGTCTTCCTCTAGGCCGTTTTCTGCCCCCAAAGATGCCAAGGGAGTGACAGTAAAATTACAGCCACATCTAAATTGCTGCTTCTCTGCTTCCTTCTCATGAGTGGTGGAGGGCTTTGAGGCTGAGAAGTAAGATACTTTCGTTACCTGACTTAGAGACACACGGTAGCTGTAGGAGTCAGTCAGACCCAGTTCAAAATGTCACTTGCATAATTGGGAAAGCCATTTGAATACTTGGCTTTAGACCTGACAGCCAAGGGCATTAGATCGACTCAGCAGACAGGTGGGTCATGGTGCTCCAAGCTCCATGTGCCCAGACCTTGCTCTTCATCCCATGATCTACCCCCTTATCCTCTCCCTGTCCCTACCCCCATGCCAGCCAGGAGAAGCAGAAGGCATGCTCTCTGTAGATAAGCAGAGAAGGGCCAGAGGGGGCAAACCCACAAATCACAGTTCCTCCTAGTCACAGTCTCCTTGAAGAGCTAGGCTTGAGAGCTGTGTGTGCATCTGACAAGTACATGCTGCCACTCCCACTGGTGACAGGACCTCAGGGCAGAGCAGTGGACAGCTAGTGCTGAGTAAAGCCAGCAATCCTAAATGCATGTTATCTGAAAAGTAACTTCTCACCAGGGGTCTAACTGCATACACAGAGGTCATGGCGTCACGGGTGATTTCAGAGCTGTGTAGTGGCCATTGAGAGTAGAACAGGAACAGATCTGTCAGCCTTTCTCACCCACAGCATCTGGGATGATTCCCACTGAGCACCCCTCTGCCACCATTGTGAGCAGGGCCTTTCATCTCTGGAGTGACATTTTGTGGGTTGTTTCCTAACTCTGCTTTGTGTGCATGTCTTTGCTGTGAGCAGATCACCTCATGTCAGTGTGTTCCTGCTCCAGTGGCTTCTCTGCTGATGCCCCCTGGGGTTTTCACACAGTCCACCTGTGCCCTACTGAAGGAGACTGATAATGGGCTCATGCCTCTAGGAAGCCAAGAACTTCCTACTGCCTCCTCCAGCCTCCTGCCCCTGCAGAACTGGGAATCCTCCACTATGGCCAGCAGGCCCCTCACCAGGCTGCAGCTCCAGGAGGCACTGCTGAACCTCATCCAGGTAAGACTGTTGACCTAACTAACAGTGGGCACCATGGCAGACGAAGTTGGCTGATGCCTTCTTTGGATGCCATAAGAGTAACCCCACCATCACCACCACCAAATAGCTTCTAAGCACAGTTAACTGGATGATATTTAGAACACTACTTGTGGCCTGAGATGTCTCAAGCCTTCAAGAGATTTGTGACTTGGAGGAATGAGCAAGGCCTCCTAGCTACCAGCTGCAGACAAGAAGGGAGCACGTGATGAATGATGAACTAGCCAGGGCACTCTGGGAGCTCACTGTTGGGAATAGTCCCAGAGTTATTGCAGATAAGTTGCAGTTGTAAGCCTCACCAGCTATGACCGCTGTGAACGTGGTTCAGCTATGCTTCTAAAACTGACTGCTCAGAAGAGGGTGGGATGATAGGATGCCTTGTCAGCCCTGCCTTGCGTGTCTCCTCTATACTGTGGTAGTGACTCATACCGAACTGTGTGCTGTGCACTATTTTAAGTTTAATAATTCACTCGATGCTTATAGGAAACCCTATTAGTATGGGCCAACCAGATCAGATAAAGGTGTTTGCCACCAAGCCTGATGACCCACAGAATGGAAGAAGACAGAATATTGTCTTCTGATCACATCTGTGTTGTGGCATATCCATGCCTACACACATACTCTATACACAGAAAAAAAATAAACAAGTATAAAAAATTTTAAACCCGTTTTTGTCTGATTCTACAGACAAGGAAGCTGAGGCTTAGGTTGGTCTGGTGTTACACTGAGCCTGGTTGCAATGTTCATGCCCCCTGTTGTGTGGACCATGTAAATTAATGTTTCAAGACTAGACCTCCACGTAGTGGAGCACACTCCCGAGTGAATGATAGGCCTTGGAAAGGGTGATGCTTGAAACCACACAGAAGCAGACACCTCAACTAATGTGTTTAGGAATCCTCTTAGCTTAGGTAGTCTTGAAAGTGTTTGTAGCACTCGGTCCATCACCGGACAGCTGCAGGAGAGCAGGCCAGCCTCTGGTTGTCTGCTTCTCCTGTTGATTCTCACCCCTAGTGAAAACATTTCTAAGGTAACGTGTTTTAGAGAACAAAAGGGATGGGACTGGAAGCAAGCCTCTGAGTTGGGGTAGAATGGCAGTCCAGGGTGACTGAGCCTTCCTAATTAGAGTATGTCACTGACCTTAAATACACACCACAGTAGAAATACAGTCCACCTCTTCACAATAAGTTCATGAGAATTTAGAACAAGTATCTGCACACTTACTTACCAGAACAATAAGGAAAACCTTAGATCTTAAGGATTCTTGCTTTTCTGACTCATTGCATCTGATCACTTACCCCAGGCTGTGTGTTGTGACTTAGCTGTTTCACGCCTCTCCGTGTTGTGGAGTTTGTCTTCCTGATACATTGCTAAAAGTCACTCGGGCATCTTTGTAGGAAAAGCAGAAATAACATCTCTTTATCCGTGGTGTGAGAATGACACTGACTGTGGGATAGGGAGGGAGTAACCGGGGAGGGGGATGGAGTGACTGCAGAGACTTGGTTGATTCGAGTGGGAGGGGACAGCCTCCAGCATTAATCAGGAGAAGCACTGCCTATACCCAGAGTTCTCCCCATCTTAGACAGAGAGCTCAGAGACTTCCCACAGGTCATGGGAACAACCATGCTGCCTTTGGGGAGGTACAGTGAGCCATGCTGTGGGTAAAATCCCTATGAATGTCCCAAACAGTGCACAGACATTGGGGCAACCTAGAGAATTTTTAGGAGGGACCAACCAACTCCTGAGCCGTTGCCAAGGCACTGTGACTCATTCCTCCTGGCCCATCCTCCACACAGCACAGCTGGCCTCCGCATGGCGGGGTTGCTGTCTGTGTCAGGTGTTAGGAGCAGCACATGGACTTCACATACGGGCTGTAAAGTCCAGCAGCTCTGGCCCAACCTTGCCTCAGCCCCTTCACATCCACACACATAGGCTGACCCGGCCAGCTGTCAGTATAAACAGCAGAGGTAGTTCAGCTCCAGGCAGGAAGCCTTGGCTTCTGCTGCTCAAGTAATGCTCCCCTGGCCTGTTGGCTTTGTTTTCCAGAATGATGACAACTTCTTAAGCATAATCTATGAAGCCTATCTCTTCAGTGTGACACAAGCAGCCATGAGAAAAGCCACGTAAGCAACTCCATGAGAGCAGAGACTGGGAGAATTGGCTTTCCAGGTCCTTCACGTGAACTGGGTGACCAAACATGTTTCTACCTTTTTGACAAAGTATAGTAATACAAAGTAAAATGGTTTTGGACTGTCGAATATCTTGGGGGGTTTTTATTTCTTGTTCTTGAAGAATCCCATCCTCCGGTATACAAATTGAGTGGGTAGATGCTTTGGGCTCCGGTCATATAAGATTAAATTTTTTCCTACATTTATGAGGCCATTTTAAGAAGAATTGGGCTCCTCATGGGAGGGGATGTTCTCTCGGAGCTATTTATTAATAGCTGAAGCTAAAGAGAGCAATTTCCTAGTGTTGGGCTCTGTGTGCCATGGTGCTTGATAACCACCAGAGGGCAATATTACCCCACAAGTTACCTACTAAGGGTTTCATGAGCTCTTGAAAGCAATGTTGACTTTGTTTTAACAAAGTCAGTCTTTCATTTGTAAGGCTCCACTTGGCATGTTTGATCTGAGTCTTTGTAGAAAGACTTTCTGAAGACATTTCTAGCCAGTTTCTATCTAGAAGGTTTCAACAGTGGCCCAAGACTTGAAGCAACACTCTCATTTCTCAATCCAGGGTGCTTCTTGAGACCCAAACAGTAGGATCAGCCTGCTCTCGCTTCCAGACAGACAGTCTCATTTAGAAAATGTGCTGGGGGGGCGGGTCCCATGAGAATAGGTTGTAGCTATTCAGGACCAGAAGGTCGAAGATTCTCCAAGCTCTGTAGCAGTCCTGTTGCTGCGTCATGTGCAAAGAGATAAGAAGCACAATCCTAGAGGGAGGCGAAGAGCCTTGCAGTCCCCAGAGGGAGCATGTGGAAACTGACCCCTGCAGAGCATGCACAGTGACTGAAGCTGCATGGTTTTACCATCGTAGTTATTCCTGGACCACGAAAAGATCGTTAGCTTAGTGCTTCCTAGAAGAATCTCATTCTGTCTGTGGAGAATTTAAAATGGAGGCTGGGGTGGGGGTGAAGACTTCCTTACAGCTTCTGATGCTGGGACCAGAAGTGTCGGAGCTTTGTTCATCCTCCTAGCAGCAGGGAAACAGCGCCTGTCCTGAATGCGGGCACGCTTTCCCTAAGGAAGAACGGAGGGGCGGGAGCTGCTGAAGAGGAGCTGACCTCTGCTCACCCTCGCTGTGCACTGGGCTTTACCTGCATCTACTGTGCCAGCCTCTGGGAGGGATGCCTCCCATGCCATCCAGCACTGCTAGGAACCCATGTAAATCTCTCAACTACTTGGCAGTAATTATACATGTCTCCATAGTCCTATAAGCAGGAGGAAGCAAGAGGGACAGCCATGGTCCTGTGGTCCCCAGTCAGTCAAAACAGCATCACTTTGTTAACTTGTCTACTAAAATTGGAGCTATATTAGGCTGGGGGTGTACCTCCATCATAGAGCACTTGCCTACATAAGGTTCTGGGTTCAGTCCCTAGCACTTAAAAAGGCTATTTGACCAATGACCAGTCTTTAAAAATGTGGTTTGGTGATACAAATAAAATAAAATAATGGAAAACATTTAAAAACTCTATAATTGCATGTTTAAAGATGCTTCTGTAGCCAGGGAAAGATTAATTTTGTTCTTAGCATTTCTAATATATTGTGTCAATGAATAGCTTTATTTTATGAAATAGTTTCCCTTTCTTCACATGAATAAGTAAAACTGTAGCGGCAGCTGTTGCCACCCAACAGAGCAAGCCAGGACGGGAGTTTAGAGGACATGCAGCCTTTGTAGGCCAGTGCTACAGTGATCTGTTTTGACAAAATGGTACATTCTCCATCATCCACTCTAGTAGATCACCTTAAAAGCAAAGATGGCCACCTGCAGGACAGTCAGGATGGGTGCTTACCTCCTTACCTCAGCAGGCAAGAGTTGCCTTCTACAGAGCTCCATGGACACTTGAGCACAGGAAAAAATGGATCTAGGCATCCAGGACTGAACTTCCTATGTAAATTTCCATTTCATCTTCCCATGCTCCTCCTGAACTCAAGTTCAGCTTCCACTTAGAGGTCTCTGCCCCAGCAGAGTTTTAACCTCCTTGGATTTCAGGTAGAGCCTGTAATACTGTGGCTAAAGGCAGCTTTATCCAGTGCAGCGAATGGCACCTTGCAGCGCCAAGGGAGTCAGGTGGCCAGGAGTAGAGGGTGGAGCATGAGTGGAGTCCCTTGGTCCTGCCTTCAGCTCCTGGACAAGTCTCTTTACAAGGCACCTTATTGATGAATTGAGAGACCTCACAGAGTTCAGAGGACTAAACTGTCATGGTCCAGGGCTGCATGCCAGCCATTGGGAAGGACCTACAGCTACGGGGGAGGGGGGAGCTTCCTGCCATTGCCCCGACAGTGTGTGCCTGAGGGCCACCTTGTTATGCCCCCCCCCCCCCCACTTCATTGGTGCAATGGAAGCAGTCATGTCCCTTCTTTATGAAGGAACTCGTGGGCTGCAACACTGCTAGCATGGTAACCCTGCGCCTGCCCCGGACTTGCAGGGAAAGTTCTGTGTTAAGTTCCTGTCATTGTGACAACAAACCTGAGTAAATCCACTTCACGGGTGAATGTTTTGCTGTGGGACACAGTTTCAAGGGTTTTAGTGTATGTTGATGTGGGATCTGTTGATGTGAGGCAGAAAGCCATGGTGGAACAAAGCTGTTTGCCTTGGAGCAGCCAGGAAGCAAAGAGGAAGAGAAAGGAGGTCTGTGCTGGCTAGATTTATGTCACCTTGACACAAGCTGGAGTCATCGGAGAAGAGAGAACCTCAATTGAGAAAATGGCTCCATAAGATAAGGCTGTTGACAAACCTGTAGAACATTTACTAATTAGTGATTGATGGGGGAGAGCCCAGCCCATTGTGGGTGGAGCCACCCCTGGGCTGTGCTTCTGTGTGATATAAGAAAGCAGGCTGAGCAAGCCATGTGGAACAAGCCCATAAACAGCACCCCTCTATGGCCTCTGTATCAGTTCCTGCCCCCAGGTTCTGGGCCTGCTTGAGTTCCTGTCTTGGCTTTCTTCAGTGACGAACTATACCGTGGACATGTAAGCTAAATAAACTGTTTCCTCCCCAACTTGCTTTTGGTCATGGTGTTTCATTGCAGGAGTAGTAACCTTAACTAGAACGGGGTCCCAGTATTCCCTTCAAGGGCCTGCCTCCAAAGGCCTCACTTCCTTTCACACTGTCCACTGCCTCCCAGTAACATCACACATTGGGGACCAAAGCCTTTAACACATAGGTCTTAGGGGGACATTTCAAATTAAAACTACAGCAAGCAGCATTTTACTTGCTGAGTCAGAGAAGGCAGTGCTGTTCAACAATATATGTAGGCTCCACACATTCTGGAGACACACCACTCCATCTCCCCACTTAGACCTGGCAAGGTGGCCACTGCAGTGGGAGGGAACCTGTGTTTGCATCTTCAAGAACCATCTAGCATGATAGCCAGCCCTACTGCTGTTTAGTCACGTGGAACCTGCTGTTTCCAGCCCTTTCAAAAGCTAGGCCTGTAGCTCCAAACAAGACATACTACCACCCGTAAGGCTCCGGGAACATGTGGAAGAGGGGCTAGAAGTATGTAAGAGCCACAGAGTAGAGTGAAGGGCCACAGAATGCCACTGTCTGGAATTGATGACTGTTGCGGCCATTCAGTCACCGCTGTAGGTACCCACACTGGCCCACACAGGACTTCCCTGTCAACAGGTCAAGGAAGGAGAGGAGCTCCTGGGGGCCACCCTTTATCAGAAATACTAGCTGTGATTGGTAGACTCTGGGAGAGGGAAACCACTTTAGTTATCTTTAGATATAGACCCACTGCAGAGCCCACCAGAGTCTAACAGATAGTTCCAAATCCATGGGCACACAGATGGCCCTGTGATGTCAGTGAGTCATAAAGCAAAATGAATAGACTGGAGCACAGATTTGTGGGGAAGAGGGTTGACAGGGTTGATAGGAAGCAGCTGTAAGAGTGGCAAGTGTGCATCACATGCACGTGTGAAATTGCCTAAAAGCACATTTAATTCTTAAAAAAAAAATAGCACATAAAGTATAGAAAATTTAGCATTAAAAAGAGAGAAAGGCCCAGGGCAAAGCGGCCCCAGGCTGAAGGAGTTCCCTAAAGACACACATTGTTGGTATCGTTCTGCTTTCAGACCCTGGGACACTGTTTCCTCTTGAGCAAGGTTGGTACAAATGGACAACAGTATGCCTCTCCTCAAGAAACCCCAGCCCTGAGCATCTTAGCGTGTCCTGTTCTCTCATAGTGTTAAAGAGCAACACCAGTTTTGTATAGGCTACTTGCCTGAGCCTGTGTGTGATGTTATGGATGGGACTTGGACATAAAAGGTGAGCATTCGGCCCCAGGTCTTGTTGCCTTCAGCCAGCCCGTGTGCAGAGAAGACAAACCTGCCTGGGGTGTTGGGGTGACGCAGAGAACGGGGTCTCCAGGCCACATGGACAAACCTGCTCACTTGCTGCGAAGAACCCCTCCCCCTTCAAATAACGTCTGCTTCATCTAGACATGGCCTCTTTCCCTGTCTTTGGAGGAGTCAGTTTGCTTCCCAGCTTTGGAGTGTTGAGTCATCGTCAAGGTTAATTTATCACTTGCAGCCAGCTGGTTGTAGCCATGCTTTGTCATGTGAAGTTGGCTGGCTGCACATATTGGTAAGCCTCTCCAGTGTGGTGCTGAATACTTGACTTGCAGATTGCAAATGCTTGGCACCCCAACCCTCTTACAATTAGGGAGTGAGAGGGGCGGTTACAGATTCTCGGTGTGTTTAACCCAACCTTGCTTATCCAGACAGATTTTCACCAAATTTAGTTCTGAGTAATGTCTTCTAACAGCTTAGAGCTCCAAGAAAAGTACACAAATAAAAACCGTGTGTGCAGACTGTGGTCTTAAACATCAACACGGGGAGAAAAGCAGATCACTGTTGGTAATGAATGGTCTCCAAGGGCCAGGCAGACAGCATGGGGGGCAGGGGGTGCGCTGAGCCAGCTCTGAGTGTAGCTTAGGCTGAGTCCCAGGGCTACTGGAGATGGAAGTGAGCAGAACTCAAAGCCTGGCAAGTTGACTAGGGACATGACAGAAAGGAAGTAAAGGGTGTTCTAAGTAGGCAAGAGAAGGGGTTGTGAGTCAGTGCTGACAATTTTCCTCGGAAGTCTGAGGACCAAGGGCAAAGTCCTAGGTATTTGTGAAAAAGCCAAGGTGGCGCCCCCCAGTCATACTGGGAAAATCAGGTGACAGTGGAGGTAACGAGAGCCCAACTTTACAGACACTGAGCAGCCCAAGTCCAGGCCTTCTCTGTGGCCTCTCCAGCGACTGCACACCTACCAGCCATTCAGCAGATCCAGCTCCTTCTGGAGAGCTGTCCTTACTTCCCACCATCTGTCTGGTGTACACAGCACATTGGCACCTACGCCATTCCAAGGCTTGAGACCAGGATGGCAGGCCCAAGATCTGGGCTGTCATGAGCTCCTTGTCCCAAGTGATGCTGTGCCAAGAGCTGCACTGAGTGAGAATGACCTGGATTCCAGTCCCATCCCGTCTCCTCCACCACATGAGTACCGGGATTGCTGTCTGGGGGGTTTCGTGAGCCTAGAGTTGACACGTAACTAAAACCACACATGTTTTGCAACAGTGATGGTGTTTACAGCAGTTCTGGAGAATGTGTACCACTCAGCCTCGAAGCAGAGGCACGGCCCAGCTCCTCTTCTTTGCCACCCAGAGTCCTCTCTTCAATAGCCCACGTGACAGTTTTGCATTTTCTGCCCACGACACTTTTCCAGGCTCATTGGTTTCTTAAGTCTATGCCCCCACTGTGTTCTTCCAGTGCTTCCGGAGGCAGAGAAAGGAACCTCACACAATATCCATAGATAATGAGCCCCCAAAGGATAAGGGGCTCTATTCTGTGGCCAGCCTCCTCATGTTGATGGCCACACCCCATCAGATGCCACTGTTCCCTAGGTCAGACAGCGGTGTTAGCTGAGAGGCAGCCATTCCTGGCTTCCCATCCTCCTCAGTGCCTTTCCCAATCCTCCGTTCTTCCTTTACTCAAAAGGAATGTACCTGTGCAGCCCCAGATATTCAGGGAACACATCTGTTTGCCCATCCACTGGGAATGGGCTGTTTCCCAAGCTCCTTACCACACACTGAGTTGATAGCCACTCCATTTGCTTGTGGTATCAATGTGTACCAAGCCTCTGTGCGCAGGCTGTGGGTAGCACTGGAGACACCTCACAGTCCAGGATGAGGAGGATTAATTATAAAACAATATCACCAGGGTAATCATGATTAGGCCTGCAATATTGTGAGGAACATAAATCGAATAGGAGGCCAGGCCAAAGGGTTCCAGGAAGAGGTAATAGCTAAGAAGCTCCTGAAGAATGAGAAGGAGCTCATCAAAGGGGCAGAGGTTGGTATTCAAGGCACAAACCACATAGGCAGGGAGCAGCAGGCACCCTATTTGGTGTAGGCAGGAAACAGTACAGACCAATGTGCTAGAGCTTAGAAGAGGAGGTGTGACTGAAGAAAGCAGTCTGGACCTACAGACAATGAGATCATGTGTGGATTCTAGCAGAAAGGGATGCTCAGATCCTCATCTTCCCTCAGCTCCCTGGCAGCCGAGAGGGGCAAGCACAAGAGAGCATGAGCAGCTGTGGCGGTCAGACATCCATCTGTGAGGAGCATCCATGTAAATCAGCTTTGTGGGAGGCAGGGGAGGGCTAGACTGTCTCACAGTTTGGTTTGTGTCCATGTCTGTTAGCTCCGTTGCTGTGAGCCTGCAGGAAAGCCTGAAGCTCCCATCATGGTAGATGCATGTAGTAGAGGAAACAGCTCACTTCATGGTAGCCGGGGGACAGAGACACACAGGAAAGACCTGGGCATCCCAATATCCCCTTGAAAGGTACACCCCAGGAACCTAACTTCCTCCAACTATGCCCCTAGCCTCCTAAAGCTTCCCTCATCTCCCATTAGCATCAAGAGAGGGGAACAAAGCCTTCCATGATGGTCTTTTGGAGACCTATCTAAACCCGTAACAGCAGCAGAGACCCCACTGGAAGGCTGGGGCCGTGGCACGGTAGTTGGGGTGTTGTTTTTCTTTGTTTTCAGAGGTGCAGTTTTTAAGATTTAGAAAACAATACTGGTGAGGTTTCATTCTCGATCATCTGTAGTGAGGGAGTAGTCAAACACACCTACCAGGTGCCCTGCCTCGATGAGTAGTTGGGGTGTTGTTTTTCTTTGTTTTCAGAGGTGCAGTTTTTAAGATTTAGAAAACAATGCTGGTGAGGTTTCATTCTCGATCATCTGTAGTGAGGGAGTAGTCAAACACACCTACCAGGTGCCCTGCCTCGATGACTAGGTTCATCATAAGGAAATGAAATGCTGGCTAGAGCTAATGGTAACAGTAGCAGATACCCACATCAGACAGTGCTCTCAGACCTCAGTAGACCATTGACTATCACTGAAGCCCTTCAGGTGTATTGTCTCTCTCATTTGACAGCTGAGAGACTTGAAGTCCAGAGTCGATTTCTCCTCAGCGCACCATTTCCCTCAACCTCTGTAGAGGCAGGGCTGTTCTTCCCATGGTGCTACTTGTCATGGGGTGGAAACAGGAGGTGAGGCTAGCCTGGACTTGAGTAAGTAGAGGCCACACAAGTGTCTCGAAGACCCAGAGCCTCCCCAGCTGGTGATAGCAGAACAGGGTGGGTCACAGGAGCAAGGAGTCTGGGTTTCCAGGCCCACAGAGACAACCTTCCAGGGCCTGGTCCAAACATCCTGTGGGCACATGATTGCTAGGTGATGGGGGCCCTGTGCTGGTCCCACTGCTCAGTAATCTCTTTCTGGAAGCCCCCTTCTTCCTCAAGTGTTGGCCTGTACATTTCTCCAGTTACCAGAAGGCATTGCTACAAGCCCTGTAGCTCCTCCACCTGCCCCAGCTACAACTTCCTCCATCATTCTTTGTCTTAGGACCTGGAGAGGGGAATCTGGGAGCTAAGGACACCCCTATCCATCCCTGCTTGAACCTAGCTGCCAGTAAGGCCGTGCCCTGACTGCATGTGAACAACCAGGCA